TATCTGACAGAGACAGACACAGCGAGAGAGGGAATACAAGCAGGGGGAGTGGGAGAGGGAGAAGCAGGCTTCCCGCGGAGCAGGGAGCCCGATGTGGGGGTTGATCCCAGGACCCTGGGATCATGACCTGAGCCGAAGGCAGACGCTCAACGACTGAGCCACCCAGGCGCCCCTAAGCAGCATTTTTAAAAAGATTTATTTACTTGAGAGAGAGAAAACGAGCGAGCATGAGTGGGGAGTTGGGGAGCAGAGGGAGCGGGAAAAGCAGCTGACGCGGCCGATCCTAGGACCTGGAGATGGTGACCTGAGTTGAAGGCAGCCGCCAATCAACAGAGCCACCCAGGCGCCCCACAATGTTGCTTAGTTATTACCATCACCAGTCTGCAGTACCTAGCTCAGGCAGACACTTAGGTCACTGTCTCTCTCCCAGTGCTGCTGGCGCAGCAGACGCCCAGCAAATGCCTATCAATTTCTTTTTCCCTGGCTGTTTCATCCAGGGACCAGGCTGACACAAATCTGCCACCAGAGGTTTAGAGGAGGGAGTACTCACATCTGTAGAGATGGTTCCACACAGGGAAGAAGGCCATGTAGAGGGCCACGTCCCCCACCGTTGGGTAGGACTTGAAGATGGAGATGATAGCAATCTGGATGAACATGAAGAAGATAGGGTGGTCCCTGGGGCGGGGCGGGGCAGGCAGGCAGACAGAGAGGGAGAGATCAGTCAGGGACGAGGTCCACCCCCAGAGACTCCTAACCCCATCCCTTGAACTCAAAAATGCTCTCCAGGGGACTTCAGGCAGGGGCTGGCTCTGCTGCCCACAGGACACGGGGGCCAGACCGAGTAGCACAGCAGAAAACTGGGGACCCAGAGATGTCCAGAGGTGGTGGTGGAGGAGGGCCCAGCAAACACTAGAGAAACAGCTCATCCCCCCGCCAACCCCCATCCCGGCTCCGGGCCTTCCCCTAGGAGCCACTAAGGAAGAAAACAGATGAAGTCAGCTTCATTACTGGGCTCTAAAGGCTGCTTGTTAGAGTCATCAGGCAGCCTCCCTTGCCAGAGGCCCCTTTGACAACCGGACCCAGGGCAGGAAGTGCCGGGCTTGCCGACGCTCTTCTTCTCTGACAGTATGGTCAGTGGAGTCTCCGGACCCTTAGCTATGATGTGCTCCTTTCCAGAAAGAGAACTGATTGCTGCAGGCAGCTTTTCAGCTCCAAGGCGCTGGAACTGGAGTTCTTATTACCTTAAACTAACAATAACGGCTACCATTTCCTAAACCCTCACTCTGCCAAGTTCTGTCCAGGCCCTTTCCTTGTGCCATCACATGTGATCCCTACTGTGAGTCAGCTACTCCTCGAAGTAGGCAGGACCGTCACCCACACTTTGCAGATGAGGAAATGGAAGTTCAGAGAAGGTAGGTGAATTAGTAAGCAGTGGGACTGCTTATCTCCAGAACTCTTAAGCGTCACCAGTACTGTTCTCCTGAGTGCCTAGCACGATCACAGCTCTCGTCAGGAAGGGTGGGGACAGAGCTCCATCTCCAGTGTTCGTCCGAGAGCTGATCAAGTGCTAAAAGGAAGCCAACAGGAAAAGGCCAGCTCTACACCCTCCTCAGCTGTACCTAAACAACAAGCATATGGCCTACTTCTGCGCAGTACCTGGATGCCCAGCTCATTAAGGTTTTCTTCAGAGATTAATAGTATTCTTGACTTGCAGGTCAAAGGTCAGGGTGACTCAGTGGGTGTCAATCTGAGATGTGGGGACAAACACGTACACACCCCAAACACTTGAGCAGTTTTACACAGCAAATGCTTCAGACGCAGCTTGGCAAAGTCTCACAGTCCTGTAGGCTCTAGAAGGGTCCAGCTAGCTCAGTGAGCATCTTCCTAAAGATAAGCCAAATCACTGGCTGTGGGCTTTTTAGGTAGCTGGTAAGAACCGCAACATTTCTATGGAAAGGCCAGTGAAAGGACAGTGACAGAAAGTATGGCGACCCGAGGCTCCTGCGTACTGTCTGGAGAGAGGTGGCTGGAAGGGCTCTGTTCCCACGAAGCTGGCACTGGAAGCAACTACCGCAGGGGCTGCAGAGTTAGCAGAGCTCCAGATCCAGCAGGGGAGGCCACTTCATACACTCTGTCCCTACAACCTGGGGTGGGTGTGGGTGGGGGTCACACGCTGGTGCTGCTGTTGTCTACCCCCAGGAGCCACCTGTGGCCTTTCCCAGGCAGACAATGAAAGGGGCTACGCAGATGAGGAAAGGTGTTCCGGGCTCCCGGCTTCTCTCAGCCCAGCGGCTAAGCCTGACCAGAACAAAGGCAGGGACTGGGGACGACAGACAGCTGGAGAGCTTGGCTGGGCAAGGCTGCCAGGGTTCTGAGACTGCCAGGCCAAAGCTAAGTTGTGGGAAGGAGGCATGAGCTCTGAGCTTTTATAGAATGGGAACCATGTGCATTGGTACACTGGCCACGAAGACTGGCAGGAAGGTTAGAACAGAGAACTCAGGCTCTTGAAATCTAAACCAAATTCCCTTCCAGGTTCCCTGGACCAGCAGCCAAGGATGACTGGCCCCACTGAGATCAGGTTGTGAGGGGCCCTTCAGGCACCCAGGACCATCACCTGGACCATGTGTCAGAGCCTGTTTTCCCTTCCCTGAGCCAGGATAACAGAACAATTTCCAGGGGCTACTACAAGTGATCCCTTTCAGGAGTTTGGCACGGTGCAGGGGGATGAGGATAGATTTTGGAGACAAACAAACGTAGGTCTAATCCCAGCTCTACTACTCACTCGCTGTGTGACTCTGGGAAAATTTTTCCACTTCTCCGAATGTCCATTCCTCAACTATAAAATGGAAGTGATGGTAATAAAATGATGCCTACTTCCAAGAAATGCTGGAAGGCTTGAGTATGAACACTTTTCAGAAAGCCTAAAAAGGGCTGGGATGGAGCCAGGCTCAATACATGTTCACTTTCTTATACTACAGAAGAGAGCTCCACAGATAAGCCTTTTGAAGGAAATTCATCAGAAGATTAAACAGAGCTGCAGGTAGCCAACCTCCCAACTAATACATCCTGAGTCCCTACTGTCACCGGGATAGTGATGGAGGACGCCCAACAAGAGCCACTTTTTCCAAAGACACCTTCCAACTCCAAACCCTTCCTCTTATGCAAAATATGCGGGGTTCAGTAGCACTGTGGGCTCAGAGTGAAGCCAGAGGAAATATGAAGGGTGCTCCAAAGCGCCGTCCCTGCAGCCTGTACTCATGTGTGACTGTGCTGTGAGCTACGGCGCCTGGCACGGGAGCCCAGTGAGGGCAGGTCCCCTGGGCAGAGACGGCATAAACCTGAGACCAGATGCTCCCAGTTTGACAGGCACCTGTAAGACTACAAATGGCTCTGTGGACAAAGCAGCAGCAGGTCCAACCACTTACTTTAGCTTTATGGCTAAGGGGATGGTGTAGAAGAAGACGTTGATCTGAAACACACATACAAAGAAGAGGCTGAAGTGCTCAAACATCTCCGCAAAGAAGTACCAAAAAAGACCGATGTTTGGAGTAAGATCTGGAACAGAAAGTCTGGAATGAAGAAAACAAAGGGAGGGGAAAAAAGAGAGCCAAATTATAAATGGTCTGCTTTGACCTGGTTTTCTCCTAAAGATTCTGGTCACTACTGGGCAGCCAAGGATGACTGTCCCTACTGAGATCAGGATGTGAGGGGCTCTTCAGGCACCCTGGATATAGGTAAATAATAAAAACAAGAGGCAGAGAAACAGAAAATGATAACCCTTAACAAATATTAGCTGAACCAAACTGGCGTGCATCAAAGATCTGAAATGAGGCAGCATTCAGGCTAGAAATCAAGAGACCAGCCCCTTGGGGCGCCTGGGTGGCTCAGTCATAAGCGTCTGCCTTCAGTTCAGGTCATGATCTCAGGGTCCTGGGATCGAGCCCCGCATCGGGCTCCCTGCTCAGTGGGGAGCCT